CAAGACTATTTAGTTTAAGAGTTATTATTTAGTTTATTTGGTGATTTGATATTTAATCTACTTTTCATAACAAGAGAGTTAAAAGTAATTATTTTAAAGGCGATAGTTATGACAAGTTTGGTTGCATAACTCTGTACAAGTCGCACTTTGTGTTTACAATTACATTGTTGGCTAGGTTTTACTAATATTGTTGACGTCACACTTGAATCTTCAGTATTTTTCTCATTACCTTAACTGAGTATTGTTACCTTACAGTGCCACCTCCCTAGTTTAGAGAAAGTTTGAGGCCTCAGTTGGGCAACGTATAAATATAGGTTACCAAGCAAGTGAAGAAAAAGTGCAGTTCGGTCAGAAAAAAGTTAGAAAATGTGAAGTTAGCTGGCATGTGAGTGATTAGCCATAATGGGTGATAATTCACAGTTTAATAAAGATAAGGAAAATAATTTGTCTGGTTAAAGGGTGTTCTAAAGTAATTGAACCCATCTGTGTGGACTTCGACATAAAGGAGACAATTATTTAAAGTTCAGGATACAAGTGTGATAACCCACAGAGTAATGTAAGTGAATTATTCACTGATTTGTATTGTGAGAAAAGAAGATAAAGAAAAAATAAGTCATCTTGTCAATTGGATTCAAAGTAACTGAATCAGCCTGAGTGAACTTTTGACAAGAAAAGGTAATTATTTAGAGTTTTAGATAAAACAATGATTTCTTATAGTGTAAAAAATTTTGTACATATGTTTGACTTGTTTTGAAATATATTATTTTAAAACAAGTGGATTGTGTGCTTGTTGTTTATTGTTTGAATTTATTGCCAACAAGTCATAGACACCTACTGCAGAAGAATCCCAGCCCACATATCCATAAAACCCTGACATCCAGAATTTGTTTTTTCTCCAGGTATTCTCAGAATCCATGAATCATCTCCCTTTCATTCAGTTCAAATCTTTTGAACAAATTTCTTATTTCTGTGTAACCAAATGTTAAATGCTTCTGTAAGTCTCCTGGCTACTGTTTTAGATCTAGCACTGGGGCCCATTTTGGTAAATCAGCTTCTTCTGCATCAAGCAGTCTCTTTTCTATAGATATTTTCAGGTTTACATAAAATGCATTTGGACAGATTGCAGGGTCCTTTTGTCTATCTTTTTTTGTGGATAGAAACCTCTTGAAATATGAGACAATTAGCAGCAGTGACAGATTTCTCTTAATATTGTCCAGGATTTTCTCATCTTTCTTCAATAACTTGAACAAGACTTTTAATCTTGTTGTTGGCTCTGAACAAATCCTTGTTATGTTCTTGCAGATCTAAGCGTAGTTTGGACAGTTCTTGAAGTGCATCACACATAATTCTAAGTCTAAACAAATTCTACAGATGTAATCTTCCTTTGCAATTCTTCGTATATGCTTCTATCTTTCTTGTCTCTGGTACAATCATTCTTAGCATTTATAAAATGAAGCACCAATGCTTCATAATCCTGCCATACTGCAGAAACTATTTTTGTCTTGATTCCAAGCATCCCAACTTTTTGGCATGGCCTACAACCAAGTTTTTTATTTTGTATAGATAGCCAGTCATATTTTTTGCAAAATGAACTTTTTTGTTCTGAAGTCCAACAGCTAGGCCAGTTGTTCTTCAACACTAGAAGACAAAGATGCCGAAAGAGTGGTAGTTAATTCCAGCTTATTAGTTTCTTCTTCATTATCATTGAATTTCTTTCTTTCTTTTAAGCATGGGGTGAAAAATAATTCATGATTCTTTTCATTGTATAAAGTATAACAGCTCCAGTATACACAGCAACAAGTTTATCACAATATAACACACACGGTGACACAGTGCAGATTAGCACACTGACAGCTAAGTTTACGCTCCACTGATTGTTACTAGTCTGCTATACTGAAAATTATAGGCATGCACAAAAATATTGAAATATATTCACATTTTTATATTTCAAAATCATTTCATATCTACTATTCTACTTTATTATATATATATATATATACATAATAAATATTACATTCAGAATGTAACAATTAGAATGTGACATTCTAATTGTTTTATAAAACATATAAAAAATTTGAATTTCATTTTCTTAAGATGATCACAAAATTATTATCAAAATTTGCACTTTGATAATAATATAGTGGGGTTTTTATAAACAACTTTTATTTTTCTATTTATCAAAAAAGGTGCCAGTATGGCATACCACTGCATACCCCCAGAAAAAAAGTCCTGGAAAGAATATAAAGTTTTTCTATTAAAAAACGTTTGATAGTTATCTGGAGGTTATTAGGAAATTATTGAAATTTTGCAACTGTAATTTGAAAATTTTCAGATGAATAAAGTATTTGTAATCTTCAAATCAAAATTACTTTACATGTTAAATAGTCAGCATTCCAAATGAAAATTATTCATGAGTAAATCTTCAATTAAGAAATCTTAAGACTTAATTTAAAAATCTGGTATTTTTGTATGAAAGCCTTGTAACAATTCTGACAGTCTGTGAAATTTCATGAAGGTACTTCTACACTATCAAAAGTTATTGTATAACTGTTCTCATGGTTACTTTGATGGATATGGGCTGGGTGGTTAATACAAAATGTCAGATTTACCCATACTGACCAATACTACCCATGTGACTGGTCATTATCATTCAACATTAAGAAATCCTTAATATCTAGATATTATCTATCCTACCAGTGAAGGACATTTCTAGCATCTACATTCTTACACAATGTGAAATGTTACACAGTATTCTGCAAAGAGCAGAGTAGGTATCATCTCTAGAGAACAACAATGGAACAAAGTCAACTTAAGTTTTCTAAGCCATGTAGTATGCAAAATCTGCATAGGTACAGACTAAATAAACCTTTATTTTTATAAATTTCTGCTGTAAGATAAGAAGAAAGGAAATGCATCATATGTATGCATACCTCACATGCTAAAGGTGTACTCAAAACTTTAAATGATATTGTATGTAACATAATAAAATCATCATCTAGATACATAATTTCTTACTGTCAACTAAAGGTCCCTTTATTATTAGTTGATTAAGTCTGATTTCATATGTATTTATTTCTTATGAGTAGAACAGGCATTGTAACACATTTATCTTCTGCAGGGCACATTAGTGTTTAATAATCATATATTTTAACATAGTTCTGGTCAAGTGTATTTTAATAGGAATAAAAAATTTCCAAAAACCATTACATGCTCTGTTGAGTATGTAGTACAAAATTGTATGTGACAAAATTGATCTTAGTTGTCATGTTTATGTTCAACATAGCATATGACCCTAACCCTTGAAATAAATATGGAACAAATTTTAAAAAAATCTTTTGACTTATTTTTGGGTATTGAAAGATGCAAAGTAAATTATTTCAAATAAACTTTTAAATACTTTTTCAAATATTTTTAACACAATTATAAGTTGCAACCAGTATTTATATTCACTCATTTTTTATACATTTTTATATTCGCTCAGTTTTAAGTTGTAATCAGTTACTTTCTGCTTCTTTTGGATAAATTACTTGCACTAAAAGACAGCGGTTTGTGATGCATCACACAAAAGAAACTTTCTGAAAATAAAGTAATAAATAAGAAAGCTTTTGCTTTTCGGACATTTAGAATTTTAACGTATGTACCTTAAAATGTTTATATATCCTACGAATGCCAGGCAATATAAATTTTGAGTTTTACATTTTGGAACTTGGCTAATCTCTGTTATATACTCATAACCCACATATTTAATTATTTGAATTATTCTGGCTCATCATCTCTTTCTTTTGTCTTGTGCTTGGTTTTTACAAGTATAATGAGTATATGAGTATTTATTCTTGTACAGACCATGTCATTGTTGAATTGATTAATCTAGTGCATGGCTGTTACCATACTCAAAGCTAATGGTGAATTAAATTGCTAATTAATGCATAAAGATCATGTCTTTGTTGAAGACCTAAGTCTAGTCTACTCTATTATCAATGCCTATTATCACACAATACTAATGGAGAATTAGATAAGTTACTGAATAAAGTGTACAGGTCATGTCTTTGTTGAAATGCTAAATCTAGTACATGATTACCAACACAACTGAAAACTACTGAAGAATTAAATAATCTGGCAAGTAATTTAAATTTCTTATGGTGAGTTTTTGAATTGGTTCAAATGCCATTAAGTGTGTTCAGTTTTGGTACCACTGAAAAAATTCTTTCTAAACATGGTACAGGTTGCAAACAAAATAATTATTCTAATTTGAATGTTATCTGTCTCGTAGATTATGAAGAGTATTCAGAAAAAAATAGTATTTTCTTCTTCATTGTTGAGTTATGAGTATATTGCAGGCTACAAAGTACTATATTTAATAGGTCATTATCCATGCCACTATTACCAGCATCATGTGTTTTGTGTTTCCATGATAGATGGTGCTCTGCATAATTACTAACTTCCAACTGCAAGTGATATTGGTTTGAATATTATGCTGTATTTAGTTGTATAATACTTAAATGCGAAATTAAGACAATCGTTTTATGTTTTTTTTGTTTGTTTTTCTAAATTTAATTCTAAACTAGCACCCTACATTTTCAGTATGTTTTTATTCCTCTCAAGGAAAGCCTGCATGAACAAAACTTCCAGACAAATAATATTCATTACATCACTCTTGCATTTTATCAAGAGTGGCATGATGAAGCTCATGGAACAATAGATCAGTGTTTTGTTGATAAACAATGTCTGGTTGCCAGTGTTTACACCACCACTGGTGTATGTTTGTTCTCATTTTTCTTTAACTCCTCCTTTGAATATGTCAAGTGGTATGATAATCTATGCACGCATCAAATGAATTTTTTCAGTATTTTACCAATATGATGCTGTACAATTGAAACTATTAATTCACACATAGAGGACAAGTTTTATCATGTTAGAACATTTTATGAGTGTTGAAAAATATATAAACTTTGAATTATTCTTTGAATCTCTTGTGACTTTATGACCATATTGATTTGCAGAGCATATGAGAACCACATCATTCCAGCAAGCACAATAAGACCTTACCTTATCTTTTTCTATGATCAGCTGTGTGCACCTTGTATTCACACTGAACCTATCTGGCAAAAGATAGCCTCAGAACTGGAACCAATAGGTAGGTTAGAAAAGTTATGCTATTGTTAATAAAATTGTTTTTTTTTTATTGGTGTGATAAGTACAAACATATTATTGTTAATTGCATTTTCATATTTGTATCATGATTATATTTTTGAATGATTAGAAAAACCCACTAAGGTTAAATAATGTTGTTACGTCTCCGTTTGTTAATTGATTTTCCGTAACTTCGTTCCGATGAAACTTAAGCGACACAAGTCCTTA